CCACCAAAATCTCTGGATCTAAATTCGTTGGACTTTTGTGCCTTGGGCATTCAAGAGTAAGGTTCGATCATTTCAAAAAGGCGCCTCGCCGGGAATGGGCCAAAATTCCCCAGAGCCACTTTCGTGCAGCGTTGTATGGCGAAGGCCATAATTCGAGTTTTTGGCTTTTGAACAATAAAATTTGAAATGAAAATGAAAAAAATATAGCGCATTACTTTGTTGCATTACATATCAGCCACCCGGTATATATATATATATATATATATATATATATATATATTAACAAAGTCTAATAATCGGGCATAACATCAATAAAAAACATGAATTTCTTTCAAAAATTTATTTTAAATCCATACGTTTCGGCTATAATCCTAGCCTTCATTCAGTGGAAACTAAAATAAAAGTAAAAACTAAAACAATCGAATTGGAGTGAAAAGAAAAAATAAAATAGTAAATAGTACTTACAATTAGTTGATCTTAGTGTTAAATTGGAAAATTTTAATAATCCATGGTATTAGGATATGGTAATGCACTACACTATGTATTATAAACATTAACTTGAAATTACACAATATTTTCACAAAATACTGATTTTAAAAAATCACAAATGGATAGTGTGTTATTCGTAGACTGGTTGAAGATGTAATGGAGAAAGACATTTTTTAAAAAATATTTTTACCAAGATTCTACAGATGTGTGGAACGAATTGCGAATCCTTTGCGCAAACGCTTTTATTGTTTTGTAAGAAATTTGGAAATGTTATCAAAATAGAAGAGATTTGTGTCGCACAGCGTGTTAAGTTCATTCCGTTTATTTATTGTCTTATTGTTATAAATGGTTAAAAAGATCCCTCTATAATTCTTCGTTTAAATAAATTTTGTTCGAATTGTAGTACAGTCGGATTAGAAAAGTCCATATTGTGTTTTAAAGTGTGTATATGGTCTGCAAGTACAATTTTGAATTGTTTGGGGTTTTTTGAATTGTTTTTATGTTGTTGTAACCGTTTATTCAGGTTCTGGCTAGTTTCTCCTATGTAAATTAAATTACAGTCTAAACAATTTATTTGATAGACGAGATTTCTGAGTCGTTCGATATTAAAAGGGGTTTTTGTTTTGGTAAAAATAGTGCTAGTAGTTGTACTGAAATTGGTTACAAGTCGGAGTCCAAATTTATAAAAAAGTTTTTTCCAAGGAACATACAATTCTTTAATGTATGGCAAACATATTACACCAGAATGAGTTTCTGAGTCAGGTAAATCGTTATGTACTGTGCAATTGTCCATTTTATTCAAAAGGTACGTTCGTCTGTTACTAGTTACGGAATTTATAAGTTTTAGGGGATAGGAGTTATCTGTTAGAATTTTTGTAATTAAATTGATGTTGTTGTCCCAAAATGTTTGTCCGATAGAAGTATTGCGTGGTCAGTTAGATTTATTATAGTACCTATTTTCATTTTGAGTGGATGATGAAAAAAGTAATTAAGGTAACGTCCAGAGTTAGTTGTTTTTTGGTACCAATTTGTTATTAGTTTGTTATCCGTAGTACGTATAAGTTTTATGCCTAAGAAACTTATCGAGTTCATTGTCTCCAATTCCACTGTAAATTTTATTTTTTTATTGACGTTATTAAATTGATCAATTATCATAGTGACATCATCACTAGGGATACAAGTGATAATGTCATCTACATAACGGTAATAAAAAATATGTTTATTGTAATTTTTAAAAATTGTATTTTCAAGAAGTTGTAAAGATATTTCTGATAGAGATGGACTTGCCGGGGACCCCATTGGCGCCCCAAAAATTTGATAATAGAAAGAGCCATTGAATTCAAAATAAGTGTTAGAGACAATGAACTTGACGGTTTCCCTGAACCAGTGCAAAGATAACGAAGTCAACGGGGAAATTTCATCCCATCGGTTTGTTATTGCGTCTAAAATAAGGTCTAGGGGTACATTAGTAAAAAGTGAGACTACGTCTAAGCTAATTAGTTTGTAGTTGTCTGGTATATAATTTATCTTGTGTTTTAAGTCAGTAACGAGTTCATAAGAATTTTTTATGTAGTGTGGTGATTGTTTTGTTATTGTAGTTAAAATGTTACTTATGTATTTTGAGAGTTTATATAGGGGGGTATTAATTTCCGAAACTATTGGTCTAAAAGGTAAATTATTAACTTCCCGAAGGAGAAGTTAATGTTTTCATCAAAAAATCCGATTCGCTAATTTTATGTTTTCTCGACGTTTCAAGCCATTCTGAATCGAATGAGACCAAATTTGGAAAAAGTATGTGTGTGTGTGTGTATGTGAACAGATTTTTTGCCGTAAATCGACGTTTTCTCGAAAACGGCTGGGTCGATTTCAAAATTTTAAAAGCCATTCGATGTATCTCGACGAGAACTATTGTCAGTTTTGTGCGACGATTGGCCAAGCCGTTTCTTTATAAATGGCAGAAAAGTGAAAAATTTTTCGTCCACGTTTTAGCCCGCAATTCTGAATCGATTTTGAAAATTCAAAAACCGTTCGAAAGATATTGGTTGGGAATCGTGCTGATTAGTTTTTGGTAGAGATCGGCCGGGCCGTTTTCTTGTAATAAAGTTTAAAAAAAAAAATTTCGACGATTTTTATGATTATTTTTTTGACGATAGATACCATAGTCTTGTAGATCATATTAAAATATTACGGCCCTACGACAACTGGTTCAGCTTTAAAAATTCGTCAAAGTTTGCAAAAACCAGTATGGTCTTTTTGGCATCTGTCAAAATTAGACTTTTGTTCGACGTTTTCTCAAAAACGCCTGAACCGATTTTAGAAATTTAAAAGCCATTTGATGTATTTCGGTGAGGACTATCGTTTGGCAGTTTTGTGCAACGATCTGCCAAGCCGTTTCTTTGTAATTTGAAAAGAAAGTGTTAAACTTTTCGTCCACATTTAAGCTCATCCTACCGAACCGATTTTCAAAAATCAAAAACTGTTCGAAAGATATTAGTTGGGAATGGTACTGATTAATTTTAGGTGGAAATCTACCGAGCCGTTTTCTTGTAATTAACTGTTGAAAAAAAGTGTTAAATTTTCGTCCTCATTTAAGCTCATCCTACCGAACCGATTTTAAAAAATCAAAAACTGTTCAAAAGATATTAGTTGGGAATGGTACTGATTAATTTTAGGTGAAAATCTACCGAGCAGTTTTCTTGTAATTAACTGTTGAAAAAAAAATTTAAGCCGATTTTCATGGAACTTTTTTTGGCGATATACCATCATGGTCTTATAGAACTTACTGTAATATTACGGCCTTACGACAAGTAGTTTAATTTTAAAAATTTGTCAGAGTTTGCTAAAATTATTATCGTTTTTTTTTAAAGTAGGATTGATGAAGTATATTATTTACACATTTTTTTTGATTAAGTCGATTATTTACACATATCGGGAAGTTCATGTAACTTGCCTCAAGGCTAAATACCAAACCAACTAGTTACAATTTTGTTTTTTTTCTGTTCAAACTTTTACATGTTTTGCATTTTCCTTTTTAACTAAATCCATTTCAACCCCTTTGGTCTGCATTTGTCCTTCGATACATTCCCCTTCCTACTAGGCTATTAACACACCTAGTTTTTGTGGATTTTGGGAAGGCCATAAAGTCTGGGAAAATATGGGTGTAAATTTTTCAGGTCAGAAGTTATCTCTTTTGTTAGTTGTTTGTTTGTCTAAAAATTTATGGCAAGCGCGTAAAAATTTATGTAGTCAGTTGGATCGTTATTGGTAATTTTGTAAGTATTAGAGTCAAGTAATAATTCAGATATTTTATTTATATAGTCTTGCTTGTCTATGATAACAGTGATGTTGCCTTTATCCGCTTTAGTGACCACTATATCTGGATGATTTTTGAGAAATATTTTGCAAGCTTTAAGGTCTCTAAGAATATTATCATAAGTTGTATTTTTAGTATTAAAGGAATTAATATGTTGAATGATTTTTTTACAAAAAAGATTTCTAGTGTGAATTTTAGTTTTCAGATCTTTAATTTGTTGTAAACCATATTCTAAATTACTAAGCAATTTAATAAAATTAAAATTACAAGTAGCAGGAACTGAAAAATTGGGTCCTAAAGCGAATATGTACAATAGTCTGTCTGGTATGTCGATAGAAGAATAATTTTTTAACCATTTATCAATAATATTTTTATCTAAAATTATTTCGAACTTATTAATTCGAACAAAATTTATCTAAACGAAGAATTATAGAAGGATCTTTTTTAACTATTACAACAATAAGACAATAAATAAACGGAATGAACTTAACACGCTGTGCGACATAAATCTCTTCTATTTAGATAACATTTCCAAATTTCTTACAAAACAATAAAAGCGTTCGCGCAAAGGATTCGCAATTCGTTTCACACTTGTGTAGAATCTTGGTAAAAATATTTTTTAAAAAATGTCTTTCTCCATTACATCTTCAACCAGTCTACAAATAACACACTATTCATTTGTGATTTTTTAAAATCAGAATTTTGTGAAAATATTGTGTAATTTCAAGTTAATGTTTATAATACATAGTGTAGTGCATTACCATATCCTAATACCATGGATTATTAAAATTTTCCAATTTAACACTAAGATCAACTAATTGTAAGTACTATTTACTATTTTATTTTTTCTTTTCACTCCAATTCAATTGTTTTAGTTTTTAATTTTATTTTAGTTTCCACTGAATGAAGGCTAGGATTATATCCGAAACGTATGGATTTAAAATAAATTTTTGAAAGAAATTCATGTTTTTTATTGATGTTATGCCCGATTATTAGACGTTGTTAATACATATGTCAACATCAAATTCAGAATCATACAATATATATATATATATATATATATATATATATATATATATATATATATATATATATATATATATATATATATATATATATATATATATATATATAATATGTGTGTGTCTGTATTGTATATACCTATGCATGCTTTATACTTCTTTATCTATGATCATACCTTTTTTAGAGCATCCTGAAGACCAGGCGATAATGTAATGCACGCTGCTATGGCACCAATAAGTAGCATCAGTGCATACATTAAGCGACTAGATGTAGAATTTCGACATGAAGGGCAAGCTGAGCAGCATAGTGAACAAGCTTGCCCCGCACAGCAACAAGCCAACTAAAACAATATAAATGAATTACGTTTTGTATGAATTGTGCGCAATCACTCGTGAATATAAAAGAAAATTTTGCTGGAACCTGATTCTTAATATAAATCACCTAAAAAAAGAAACGGAAGTTTCTAAAAGCTCTAGTCTTTTATATATTTCAATGTCCGAGTTTTACCTAAAATAATAATAAACTAGTGGTGTATCGCATCGAGCCTTAAGGGATTATATACAGTTAAGATTTTCTAAAAATTGTTTTTTTTTTTTAATTTTGTTTCTGAATGTATATATTGAAGAATACACACAAAAATTTCGTATCATTCTGGTAAATATATTTCTTTATATGTGATCCGGAGAAAAAATTTGAAAAAACAACAGGAAAACTTAGTTACATGTGATTCGACTGTTAGTATTGCATTCTAAATTTTATAACAGTGATTAAATCATTTACTGAATTTGTGAATTTTTTTCCGACCGATTCGAAAACTGAAAAACACTGCATACATAGCCAACGGCATATTTAATGAAGAAATGGAATCACTATTGAATTATATGAAGGTAATATAAATTACCATTTGGGCTCAATACGCATTCAAATGCATAAAAATAAAATGATCAGCGCGAGATAATTTCAGATAGTCGCGCGAGAGAGAGAGCACCCGCGATGAAATAATGGCTCGCATACAACACCAGCTCGAGTTATTAGAAGTTTCCGAATCGGTGGAGCGTCTCTTATATGGCCCTGGAATAAATGACTCCATGTAAGTTGAAAAAAGAATCCCATATAATTTGCTTTCCAAACTTTAAATGCGTTTTTCTCAAAATGGTGTTTTCAAAATCGGTGACCAGCATAATACAAAAACGGCTAATTCAAGTATCCTCAAAATTTAACAGAATCTTCTTGAATATATTTTTAGTGATTAATTAAAGATTTTTCCTATCCGATAAATATTTTGGTTTTTATGTTATGTTAACAATTCAAGATCCAAATTTCGGCAGAAAAACAGATTTTTTTTAAGAAATCGCCATTTTGTCAAAAATTATTAATTTGCTTATTGCCTCGATTAATTACTAGATTTATCATTTCTTCAATGAAATCTTTTCGGTTATTTTAATTTCAGATGATTTAGTTCAGAGATCAGTGGTCACCGCGAAATATGTTGAGAGGTGCTCCAACAGATCTACAGTAACTTTTTTTAATAAATATTTTTACCTGTAATTATTTTTAAAATATAGTTGAAAGATTTCTTTATATGTGTATAAATTTTTGTATCGATAGATTTAATAGTTTTCACATAAAAAAATTTGGTAAAACGGTTTTTACATAGATAGAATTGGGCTACTATTTGTGGACAGACATGGGCCACTTCAGTAATGCCGTTCTTTGCACAGTAAAGTGTTTTTTTTTTATCAATTATTCAAACATCTTTTCTGCTTATTTTTATCACTTAAGTCATCATGACTCCAGGCAGAATCAGCACAGCGTCAAAAATTGCAAGTACCTTGGACTTGATGGGCACCAATTGCGCCTAAAATCTTTGCTTGAATGTTTTGAAAATGTTGTGTCACAAGCAGAATGGTTTTTAAATCTTATTACATACATACACACACATCCAATTTTTCTAAGGTATACCTAGATTTTCAGAAAGCTTCAAAATGCGAAGAAATGTAAAATTTTCAATTTAGATTTTTGGACGATTAAAATAACTTACCCTACGGGAAGTTAAAAAATATTGAAAGCTTGAAAGTTTTTTATTCATTGAAATATATTAGTCACAAGCTTATACAGCGAATAAAAATAATCAATAATAATAATTATTGTTTTTATTCGGCGTGTTGGATTTTTAATTATGACTAATGAATATACTTATATACAAGATATGAATGAATTTGGGTTTTTAATAAATATTTCCATTTACAGAATTTGTCGAGACGCGCGATGCGTGCCTTATGCTTGCTCGTCGCTCTTGCAAAGCGAACTTTTATGGGTGTTCTTGTACCGCCTGCGCGTGTACTAGCTTAAGTTTTTCCAACTTCTGACCACGAAGTTTCACTTAGATTTAAACATAATTTTGAACAATAGAGGAAAAAAGTACAGGCTTTCGAATGATGCTAAATTAAAAGTAGTCCAAAGAACCGCACTAGTAGTAAATGAAAAATACATAACTATTTTCACCTTTTCATGCACTAACAAATAATTTTTCATATTAATTGTTATGAGCAACATAGACAAGATCAGTATGAATAGAACTACGTTAATATTTTTTCGATATCTTTCATATTTCCGACAAAAAGTGAGCTTGAAGAAAGGGGCCACTTTCACATGTTTTCAATGATATCTTGACCAAATGATGAGCTAGCGAGTTCAAATTTGGTGTACCGTAATTTTTCGAAAAGACCTATAAAATGGCATCAATATCATTTAAATACCAGATTCTGTATGGAAACAGGCCCATACCCTTTGGAAAATCAATGTTTTAGTCATGGATAAACAAAAAATTATTTATACATCTACAGGTATGACCATAGATAAACCAGTATGACTAAAAATTTTGTATAAACATTGGCATTAAAATAAATTGAAACATTGGAAACAAATTCGTTTTAAAAATTGTAGCCATTAACTTTTAATATAAAATTTTACATCACACATTTCGATATTTGCTAAAGAGATAATTAAATGGTTAACTGTAGGAATTGAGAATCCTAATTTCATTCTCAATTTTGTCTTCATTAACAAAAATAAATTATAATAAAAAATAATAATAATAATTTTATTTAAATAGTAAATCAAAAAACAATAATTACTATTTTTAACTAAAACTAAAAAAATAAAAAAAAAATCGAACTTGTAGATGTAGAACAACTTTTGTCGGATTAATATATGTATAATATCTTTGTTAATACAAAGTAAACTGAGCTTAGCTCAAGTTTCATATATACAAAATAGGAAATTTCAAAATATATTAAACAAAAAAAAGCAAAAACAAAATGTAAAACCATTTTAGAAATGCTTTTATACAAAATATAAAAAGTAAAAATTGTCAAATTCTTTATTTCATTTATCTTCGTTGTCATGGATAAACTAAACATAATTCAAAACGAGTAAATAAATTTGAAAGAATTTACAGAATATAACTAAAATAATGAAGGACAATATAAAAACAATAAAAATGTAATATTAAACTACCCATGTTAACAACAAATGTGCTAAAGTGAATTGAAAGTTAGTTAATTAGCAAGTACCGCATTGAATACAAGTCAAATTAGAACTTAAAACGTTGGTAACATTAAGTAAATTCTTATTTAATTAATTCTGAAATAAATATATTAAACTTTATGCTATATCTATACCTACAACTACATATATATTTTAAAATATATACACGAGTTTATCAGACAATGACAATGTTACTCCAGTACATAATTCAAATCTCAAATGATATAAAAAGCTTCATCCATCAATGATTCTAGAATGTTAAGATCAAATAATTAAAAATCATGTAAAATGGTCCTGACTTGCAATTCTTGGAATTATATTAACTTGCACATTTTTATTTCCATCTCACTACGTGACATGAATTTTTCACACAATAGGGTTTATAAATTTACAGAAACTTGGAAAAATGTAAAATGTATTTAGATAAACGTCCTTGATATCACCACAGAATATACGTATTAGCGATAAGATACATCACCTGGGCAGCTGAACACAACCCTAAAGCAGCACCCATTTCTTACAACGGAATACTTATAAATTTAATCCTTTATGGGTAATAACAACAGACTATTAAACGATTGGACTATTAAAATATGGTATAAAACGTCATTTATCAGATCCACAGATAACTATCGTCAGAAAGCCCTCCAGATTAGACAGGCAAAATTTACTTGCATAGATAATGTTTGGATAAGATGCATGAATGCATGTGTGTGATTACAGCGCCAGACTAAGTATGAACTACCATTTCATTTATGCTTATTTATCTATGTGAAGTACGGGAGATCGCAGTTTGCTAAAGCATAAAGATATTAAAGAAACGTTCTAAATTAATAAACAAGTTAAACAAAAAAGTGAAAGTTTAATCGTTATTGTCGTTATAAAATTAACCTAAATTAGGCGAAAAAAAGATGTCGCTACTAGTTTCAAAATATAAATAACGTCAAAATTACTCGCTTAGATTTGCCATTCGCCATTTTGTATCAAAGTTTGTGATTCGATGTTGTTTCTGTAATTAATTGTATTCAAGTAAGCATTTATGCAACTTGTGGTAACTTCAGAAATAATATAAAAATGCACTTCTTTCCTGCTTTGTGAAGTGAACAAATTATAAATGTCCAATTATATTTCACAGAATAGTTCTCATGTCTATAGTTCACAGTGATATAAGAAGAGAAAGACAATCTGATATATGACCAGAAGAACACTCTGCAACTCCAGTGGAAAAGTTAATAATAATTCTGAATATTTTAATACCATTTACTATTACGACTTGATATTATATTACAACATGTTATGTTTATTAGATGTTCTTGGGAATACAAATTGCAGCAGAATCTAGTGACTGAGGATAGGAGTGTCTTGATGCCAAGGGCATGTAAAATGTATGACACATCCATTATATGTTGAGGGAGTTAAGCAGGATAGACAAACAATGCAATAATTTAAGGTATAAATTGCAACAGAGTATAAAATGCTCAGAAATATTTTTAACATTCCATCCGAAAGGACTGCTGCACTGTTCTATTGACACAATCGAATCATAAGAAATTCAAGATTTTGTAGAATGCAACTTTATTAATGATTGATTGGAAAGCAAAATAACTATCAAATGTAAAGTTAATGTTAAAGAAGAATGACTCATAAATGAATTTTAATTCTTGGAATTTAGTTTTCTATCAATTCTGATATCAATAGATATATTTTATGTCTGTAGGATTTAACTTTTCAAATTTGTTCATTATTTGTCATTTCTGCTAATTATACTATTCTATTATCTATAGTATATACTCTATATACTACATACTTAGACTCTATACTTTTCTCTTCTCTTTTTAACTTCCCGAAGGAGAAGTTTATGTTTTTAATATATTATTATTAGTCATTAAGAAATTAATATTAGTCAGTTCGTGTAAATTAATTATACTTATGAAAACTTTTACAATATTTCTGTGTAGTTGTTATATATTCTGATCAGTAATTCAGTAATTCATATTGATCGTTCCTTTTGAGTTTAACACTCTTGGTTTATAATACAAAAAGGCGGAAGGGAGATATTTGACAACCTAATAATAATTATTACATTTATAAAAATTTTAATTGTTATGTAAAAATGTTTGTGATATATTTAAAAATATATTTTGTTCTTCATATGTTTTTTTCTCATTTCTAATATAAGAAATTATTTAGGTTTTCTTATTTTGTATTACGTATGCGAACCATATCTAGGAATAATACCAGCGGTTGATTTATATACTGAACAAGTGCTGCCTCCTTCAGATCGCTAAAAATATTAAAATGGAGGTAATGTCAAATGGCCCGAGATAGCGATCTATTTATGTTTACCTATCTATGAGTGCGCTGATACCAAGTGACAGATGTTTATTTATCTATGGTGACAGGTTGTTAATTTTAAGCAGCCAGTTTGAGCGGGATTGTTATGTTTTGATCTGTTAACTGGTGTTGTGTATAATTGTTTTTAAAGTTTTAATTGTTGTTTAAACAAAAAGTATGACTCTTGAATGTGGAAGAAATGTAGTGTAGTAGTAAATACAATGGAAAGTGTAGAATTTATTTAAACATGATGTAGTGTACTGGGTATTCCTCTCTAACTATGCTTATTTATCTATGATTATTCTGTCGATTGTGAGCTTGATAAAACAGAAGGTGCGATTGATTCTTTAAGAGCATTCTCATCATTGTCTTGAAATAAGATATTTTAACTTTGTCTAATGTGAATACATTTTATTGTCATTAGATATCGTATTTCTGAATCATGTATTATAATTTATTAATGACATATGACTGCATTTTACTAACATTATTGTAGTAACAAGTTAGAGTCCAATAGAAATTGTTATGATAATGTGTGATTTGTATTTAAACCTGTTCTCATGTTTGTTTTTTTTACTTTTATTGATTTGATTTGATCCTAGCATATATCATAATATATACTATTGATTGAAATGTTTTTGTTGTTACTTAATATACTTTTATTATTATTATTATATTTTCACAAATTTTAATACAATTGTAATGCAAAGTTAAAATTCTATTAAAATATTTTTAAGATTATAATTAACTTCCTGTAGGGTAAGTTATTGTAATCGTCCAAAAATAAAAATTGAAATTTTTTACATTTCTTCGCGTTTTAAAGGTTTCTGCACATTTTGGCATATCTCAGAAAAAATGGATGTGTGTGTGGATGTGGTACATATGGGTTTGTTCGGAGTACAGTCACCGACAGTCCGCAACCGTGGGACGCATGCGCAGATCGTTTTGACCGTTCGATGTGTCCAAACTGAATCCCAAACTGTTGTGGATTTTTATCTACGCGTTCGGTCAGCTCGGTTTGATGCGTTTGTGACTGTCAGAGAACATGGATGCCGATTCTTTGAAAACATTAATTCTTGACTTTTCTAACCTCAAATAAAGTATGAGATTAATAAATTTATCGAATTTTCAGGAGTTTAACGATTAAAAATAAATAATTGAATAACTGTTTTATATATTTGATGAAAATAAACATCAAAGAACTTATTTATTATATTTTTAATCTATTATTATATTAAACAATAAAGCTAAAAAAAATATAAATAATAAATAATATAATTTAATTAAAACTAGTAGTATTAGATCAATATTCAACTGCGCAAACAAACATAAAAACAAAACGAATTATACTAAACGGTTTGTGAAGGTTAGGTCGCGTTCGATGTAAACCGTCCTGTCAAATCGTTGGAAACAGTCATGAGACGGCGCATGCGCAGTGTAACAAATCAGAATGAGTTTGGAACATAGACCTTATACAATTTCATGGACTGCTAGTCTTCATACATTTCTCAAGTAAAAAAGTGTCAAAAGATGTTCTATGGTATGAGGGCAAACGAGGGTAATTTTGCGGCCGAGATATGTCAAACTCAATCGCTTGAACGTCAAATGAAAGTCCGTGTGTTCGAAATTGTTGGGAAAATATTATATAATATACAATTTATGTTAAACTAATGAATGTAATGAACTATTTATATATTTATTTATTTATTTTAGTTATACAAAGTGTTTAAGGAAAATAAGAAAAAAAATTAAAAAAATATTTTACATATTATAAAATTCACTGAAAATAAGAACAGTTGGCTAGAGTTATTATGGGAAATTAGAAAGCAACAATGAAATATTTGTTTAAATGTAATATATTTATTATTGGTGTTTAAAAAGCACAATTTTTGTGTGAAAGTGGCGTACATATTTATCAACTTTGCTTTTTTATGTTCTTCATGGTGCATTCTAATTGTTAAATACATTTTTGCGACAAAGTTGATAAGGTCATGATAGTGCTGGACAAATTGCTGGAAATGGCTTGATCTAAAAAAATGTGCAAGTCCCAAGTCATTCAACTTTCGGAGAATCGTGCTTTCATATGAACTTTTGTAAGGAACTTTTGTAAGGATATGAAAGATATCCTCGATTTTTTATATCGATGAATGTCGAATTTCCCGGAATACTTGCGAAGCATTCAGAACAGGTTTTACTGCAATCAGGAACTTTACCACAGACCAAACACATTTTAGAAGACATTTTACTTTTAACAATTTTACAACAGGTATATTTTTATCCTCTTTTAGTTTAAAAACCCAAGCGATCAAACATCACGTGAACCCAAGTAACTGTAAAATTTAAGCGATCGAGTGCATTCGACTAATCTCGGTAAAGCTCGTGTTCGTATTTGACATATCTCGGCCGCAAAATTTATGCGCTCAACTAACAGTCCATGTATTGTATAGGTCGTGTGAAAGTGAATGCTCTCGCGTCAAATTATTATACTGTGTATGTAAACCATAATCAAAGTACGAAATTAATGTAGTTTTTACAAACATTAAATAAGTGATATTTCTTATAACAGTGTACTTAACTTGTATAGTAATTAGTGTGTTGACATTACACATTTTTGTGCCACCCTTATGGGGGCACAATGAACAAACTTTCTCTTACTAAAACAAATAATATATTACATGAAGATTTGCAAACATGTTCGGATCAAACCACAAAAAAATTACGTCCCAATTTATCAAATAATTTGAACGGAAATTCGATTAATTGTCAAGAAAATATGGATATTGAACAAACTATTCCAAAACCGATGCCTCGGAAAAGCGTGAAAATTCATATAGAAAATCCAACTAAGCAGACCCGGACCCCATCAGAAAACTCACTTTTGAACGATTCTTCATCTTGTTTAGATAATGTTCATCCTGTGTCAATTTCACACAACCAACAACCATCGACCTCCAAACAAGGATCAAAAGTCATGAGCTTCGAAGAATGGATTGAGGTTAAGTACAAAAAACATAAAGCAAATAAACCTGCAGAGTATTGGTTAAACCCTACATTAACCAGCAATTCCTTTGAAATTTTAAATGAAGTTCAAGAGCCAACAGAGAAAGAAGTAGTATCAAAACCACCGCCAATTTTTGTCCATGATGTTAAAGACATCAGACCTTTGTCAATTTTACTAGA